TACTGAACCTTGTCATTTTCAATGATATATTTTCAGAACTGTTTAAAAGCCCATGATGTATTATTGGCTTTTCATTTTCTTGCGGCTGTAATAGCTCTCTTGCTTTCTCTCTGTCTCACTGCTACACATTACTGACAATCTGCTGTCAGGAATTCTCAGTGCTGATGTTGCCTTGAGGATGACCTACGTGCGGGAGGTCTGAGAGTAGAGATGACCTCATTCTCCGGGGGATTTTGTGCCGAAGGCTCATCTTCCATGATGTTCAGATTTTTAACTAAAGCTGTACTTCTAAATTATTCCAAATCGTCCTTATGTTTTTCAGATATTGGCCCAGCCCCACCTCCTCCACATGGCCAGTCATTACCTTCTCTTTGGAATTTCCATATGTACCTGTGTCGTGGGAGACTTAGACCCTAACTGTAGAAAGCAGAGGCTGATGGAACTCTAGAAATTCACATCTAATTTTGAACATTTAAGCTATTAATCATGAAGCATAGTTGAGTATAAGTCTTCACATTATTGATTGATTGGCTGATGTGCTAGTGTAAGTCTGGGACCTCCCGCACATGAAGCAAGTGCTCTGCCACTGAGCTACACGCTCAGTCCCATTTGTTATTTTTTCTAATGTGCTAATACATACAGTGCTTTCAGTTTTGGAATCCCTTGTGAGGATCAACAGTTCTGAGGTTCACTGGGACATGCTCAGGGATGTACAGAATTTTAGTACTGAAGGTCATTTCCCAGGAGGCTTTCAGGTGAGATTTATGGATGCAATATGAGAGAGTGGTCAGAACTCATGATCTTCAGGGGTCCTACAGTGGCTGGTGAGTGACCACCAGCAGTTTTGTATACGCTGTGATTGTAGGGCAGGCTTGCAGACTTTTGAGTTCTTTCCATGTGTTTGCTGACTGGTCCTTCAGCACCCAGTGAAGTGGCTTTTTTGTCATGTGCATTTCATAGATGAAGAAACTGGGCAGCAAGGCCTGGTTGTCCTGAGTCTGTGAAACCCTGGCTTGAGGTAGAGTTTCCTGCACTGAACAAACTGACCCTGAGCACGTTAGGTATTTTTAAAAATCCCTTTAGTGCAGCAATAAGTTGTTAAGAATCATGCTTATGTCTTTTAGAGGGCCAAGGCACAACCCAACTTCCTTTGTGTTCTTTCTTTCACTTCTTCCCCATCCCTTTCACATCACAGTGTTTTCCTAGCAAGTGATTGCACTTCAATGACCGCAGCTCTTCTCTGAGAATGTAGTGGTGTGGAAGAACAAGAAACCCGAGTGCTTTGCTCCGGGATGTGTTTCTCTCAGTTGCTCAGGTCTCCCCACCCTGTGCCACCAATGCTTTGATTCCTTACAGCAGTGATCCCTCTATGAGGAACATTTCAGCCCAACATAGTGGACTCTGATGAGTCTCACTGCAGTACACTTTTTCTTTTGCCTCTTTGCTTAAGGAAGTCTCAAGTTCTAATAGAGATCCATAACTGATACCCAACTCTTGTACATGAATGTAAGACAGTGGCTCCTCCAAGGAACTCTGGGTATGTGACTGGCATAAGCCCAGGTGGACAAGGAGCCTGGAAATCATGGCTCTCCTTGCCACACAGTGTGGGTAGCTCATTCATCCAAAGGCATACGAGGAACTCCATGGCTGTGATTCTAGGTGGCTTCACCTGCTATGGTAAAAGCAAGCAGAGCAATATGCTGACATTATGTTAAATAGATTCCTGGACATTAGTTTTGAGGACCTGCTGAGTATAATTTCCTGGTGAAGTCTGTGGATAAAACAGTGTTCTACATTTAGGCTGGGAAGGTCTCTGAGTAGAAAGAAGAAAGCTGCAATGTGCACCTAAGTCATTTTTTTTTTTTGGGGGGGGATTTTGGGAATGTATTACTTGGATAACTATAGGCTCTTTCTTCCTTTTGGGGAGAAAAGGAATCAGCATTCTTGGAAATATTTAGAACATATTCTTCACACTAAGGCCCAGCTCTGTAGAATATAACAGTATTATTTTTCTTTCCCCTCTCTTTCTATTCCTCTTTAGAGTACTTTGCTGCTTCCCCTGTGTAGATTATTTTTCCTTTTTTACCCTCTAGGAAAACTGTGGCCATTTGGTTGCTTACGACAGCCACAGGGCTTTTGTCCCTGTGGGCTGGTCCTGCAGTCCTGAGCTTGAATGGGTTGGTAGCTTCTGTCCCTTTCAGAGTTGTTTATGCTGTTGCATTATTTTCTATACCTTGTAATGACATGTGCTGTCTGTAATTCACCTAAGACGGATTTAGTGTCTTCTTTGTGTCTCTTTGCACATTAAAAAAAAAAATACCTAGTGCACACTCTGTAAGCTTTTGTTCATTCTGGATGTGCCAGTTGGCAGCTCCTTCAGGAGTTTTCAGCCTTGCACAGCCAGCCTCACTCCACATTGTAAAGTGGTGAAGAACCCAGGGTCTTATTACTTGGGAAAAAGTAATAAACAGCCTGTTTATTTATTTCATTTTTTTATTCCAACGTCACTTGTACTCCTGCTTTTAATAAGGTATTCTTTGTATGTTTATTATAGAATATTGTGACCCCACAAATAGCTTTCTGTTTGCTAAAACTGAATCACTACTAATGAATCTGATTTCTTTTAAGTGGTGAAATTTTCTTAGTAGCTTTTTTGGAGTCATTTTTCATGACATCATGGGGCTCTGCCTCCCACTGGTTCATTTACAATGGAAGGAGATTGTCAGAGTTTCCTTGATAAAATGTTTATGGGCTTAAGAGGTTTATGAATCAGCTGTAAATATTTGCTCTGAGTTTTTGAGACTTCTCCTCATAAACATTGTGTGTTTATCTGTTGCTCATTGAAATGTCTTCAGAGAATCAACTGTTTGGGGCATGGAGGCACAAGAATGGGTTGTACGGGATGGACTATAAAAGGTCGTATTATGAATAACCCTAAATTTTTTTTTTAACTTAGTATTTATTCCTTTACTCAAACCTCTACAGTCAAAAAATGTATGGGCCCTTTGCTCATTTTGATAAAAGCTTAGGCTTTGGAGGTTTTTTCTGTTTTTTTTTTTTTTTTTTTTTTTGATAAGAATCTTTCTTTTTTTATTTTTTTTTCTTTTCAAAGTTTTATTGATAAACATATAGCAATGAGACAGTTTCAAATCAAATCAAAAGTACAGTTTCAACAAATAATACACTGCATATATTCTTCTTAGTGGTTAATTGCTGTACAAGATGCAGACTTGTGATCCTACTTACAAACACCATTAGAAAAAATCATTCTATTCATTAAGAGAATGCAACTATATATCTATCCCAACCACTTTG